GAGAATAAAGTAAGTTACCAAGCAAAATAAAAAAAATATGCAAGGCTAACTTAATACACTAAGGATCTAGTTACACATACTAACTTCTCACCCTACATGCTATCTCACGTACAATCCCCCTAGATGTTATCTCAGGTACAATCCTTTTGAGGCTAACATTGTAGTTTATGGCCTTGGTCCAGCAATCAACCAGACCCCATAGTTACAGTCCTTTTTTTTCCAGTTTCTTTCAGGCATCTCTTTTGGGCAGAGAGGCCATTGTTTACATATGAGGTTGAACGTTGCCAGGAAAGCTCAGATGTGGATTGACGTCTCTCCAAGTTCATTGTTAGTTAAGTAATCCCAAGACTTGAATTGTCCCTTCACAATATGTTGGCCAAACCTCCTTACAGCAAACACTTCAAATACAAGCATAGAGCCAACACTCCTAACTTCAGATATAAAAATGATACATGCCTACAAATAGGATGAATATATTCAGTAGATCATAACCTTTGCAAAGATATGTTACATGGCATATCTAGCCCAAAATACATTCCAGTTATGTCATATTTACACTCATAAGCATATTTCCATAAACATACAGAGGACAACATCGCAGTCTCATAAAACCACTTGATTTCAGGAGTGAGAAGGAACAATTAGGCCATGTCTACACTTATGTGTGGTGAAGACGCTCTCCTGCCAGCATAAAAAACCCACTCCCGCGAGCAGCATAAGCTGTGTCAGGAGGAAAAACTCTCTCACTGACGTAGCGCCGTGCACACTAGCGCTTATGTCAGTGTAACTTACGTCACTCGGGGGGTTGAATATTCACACTCTTGAGCGACATATGTTTTGCTGAAATAGGCAGTAGTTTTGACATAGCTTACATAATAATTCCATATGGTAATAAGCAATACCATTAGGGGAGTTGTACCACTTCAATTATATCAACACAAAGTGTCTTGGTGACTTAGGAACCTACTTCTCATTTTCAAATGTGTGCTCTAGGCCAACGACCACTGGGGCTGTGACCTGTTTCCTGCAGCCTGACCTTGCTCAGCCTCTCTTGAGTCTCAAAAACCTGGGACTGCTGCAGAATGAAAAAGTGACTATGAAAATCTGGGCTACAACAAGATGTGGTGGAGGAAAGTATGAAAGTCTGTGCTAAAGCAGGATGTGGTGGAGGAAAGTATGAAAGTCTGCGCTAAAGCAGGATGTGGTGGAGGAAAGATTAAGAAGGAATGAGGGTGTGATGGGGGAAGGAGGAATGCGAGGGACTAGGGGAGAAGGAAGAAATTGGCTCTCACTGCAATCACGTTATTGGGCTTGGAACAGTGAGGTGTACAGTGTCCAGCCCAGCATACATTATAAATACAGTGCTCAGCCTTGCCATCTCCCACTGAGCGTGCCAGACCAGAAACAACTCCGCTCCAGAGAGAGTAAAGACGCAAAGATGAAGGTGTCGTGCGTGGCCGCTTTCCTCATAGGGCTCCTCTCCCTGGCGAGCACCAGAGCAGCTCCATTGGTGAGATGATGTATTTATTATTTGTATTACAGTGGCATTTAGAGGGTCCATCTGAAATCAGGACCCCGTTTTGCTGGGCGCTACCCTGACACAGGAGAGACAGTCCGTGCCCACACTCTGGTGAGGATTTACTGTGCCGGGAGTTCAACAGACACATGGCGAGGCACAGACCTGGACGCAACTGGAATCAGGGCCCCTTATGCCAGGTACTGCACAGACACACCATGAGGGCAGCTCTGCAAAACTGGCCCTTGTAGGAGGCAGGATACAAGACTAGAGGGGCCAGTTCCTCTGTTTCAGCCCCGGCAGGATATCAGGCTACACTGGCCCATCGGTCTCATCTAGAGCAGCAGTTCTTAAGTTACTGCATGACCTGACTTCTGGTAGCCTGGTGGGGGGTGAACAGGTTTCCAGGATTGGGTAGAATGATGTTAGGAGCAGGGCCAAGCTGTTGTAAATGGTCCGTAGAACTACTGGAGTCAATGAGGCCAGCTCCTCCAGATGATATAAATTGTCTGTAGCTCCATTTGGTCAATGGATAGTCAGGAGGGGCCTCTAGAAATTACCATAATACACATAATAAATACCCCTCATCTTACAGGGCTCTGGTAGCTTCAATAACGACAAAATGGGTGATAGCAGCTTTAATGACAACAGCATAAATATTACGTGATTCCCTCCTCAGGTCATGTAGCTTTAAACATGTCAGGTCAATAAACCCTGCTCCAGCTGGTTTCCTGTCTGGTAAAGGTTACCAAGCAAGGAGCATTTCCCGCAGTTTTTCCATGTTACAGAGGCAATTTAGAAATGCCACCTACTGCAGAGGGCTTACGAAAATCTCCACAGGACTATGGCAGGTTGACCATGTTTGCCACAATTCCCCTGCATTGCTATAAATACGCCACAATAAGATTTCCAATATCACCCAGAAGACACTGCTGCTTGGAGCTATTTCAGAAGGTCCCCATCCCATGTGAACACAAAGTAGGTTAAAGGAGGCTTATGGGAGAAGGACTCATTTCTCTGCCCCAGCTGAGGCAGGGATATTAAGATAGACTGGCCCATTGTTCTGATCAGGTGTGGCAATTCTTTAATAACTCAGTGATACGACCCCTGATACCCTGGTGTGGAGCTCAATAGTATGTTTTGCTAACTTTCCCTTCTATTGGAGCAGAAAAACCAGTTCTGGTCAGCGGTGGCTATCAGCAGTCACCTTTCCTATTGGAATATCATGCTTTGCCTCAAAAGTATTCTGTATCGCTGCTCACTAACAGCCCAACCCTTTGCGGGCGAATCTTTCTACGCAAATGCCATCCTAAACCTTTTTTTTCCCATCAGTCCAGGCTTGTATAACAAATTTACGGCCTTGGAATGTCAGAGCTTTACCAAGGATTATCTCTTGGTTTCCACCAGTGGATGAGAATGAAGTTGGTGCACATCTCCAGTTTATGTAAATTTGCTGTAGTTTCATAGGAATCAACGAGATTCCTATGAAACTACAGATTCCCACTGGGGTAAATTGTCCAGAGAAGCACTGGAATCAATATGCCACACCCCCAGATGTATAGATCATCGTTACACAATAAACATTACCCAACTTGCAGGGCTCCGGAAGCATAAAGACCCGCAAAGTGGACGATGGCAGCTTTAACGACAACAGCGTAAGTACCAGAGATTACCTCTCCATACTATGTAGCTTCACACACATCAGTGAATGGAGCCCGTTTCAGCTAGTTTGATGTCTGGTAACGTTTGTCTTCGAGGAGCATTGGCTGCATTTGCCCATGTTGCGAAGGCAGCAGGGAAAGTCTCCCATTCCACAGGGATTATGAAAATCTCCAGAGGCTTATAGCAGGTTGCCCTCTCTCTCCCACAGTACCCGAAGTAATAATGACACATGCCAGACGAGGCTTTTTGATATCACTCAGGAGGCACTTCTGCTGGGAGCAACCTCAGAGGGTCTCCAGGTGAACACACATTTGGAAGGCTTATATGACATTGCCAGGGTTGATGGGAGGCTGTCCTCTGCACAATCCCTTTGGGCACCCATGAAATATCTTGAAAGGGGGTCAATGACCTCACCCAGAATGCATTGCACCTGGGAGCTATCCCAAGAGTTTTGGGATACATGCCCATCCTCCAAACTGGGGGCCTCATGAGAATTTCCCGTGGCTTCATGGGAGGATGATCTCTTTGGGGGGTATTTTTTTCACCCCCCCCGAGCAACATAAATTTTACCGAAAAAAATGGTAATGTAGATACTTAATGACTGAAAGTCTTTAAATCTCGATGGGATATGTTCACAAAAGGCATGTCAAAATAAACAGAAGTTATAGGCTAGATGGAGGAATCATTGGGATTCTGTGCGCTGTGCTATGCAAGAGGTCAGTCTAGAAAAAAATGTCTTTGTAATAATTCTAACCAGCTTGAATTCTTATCCCGAGCAGTAAGGAAACTGCCAAACTCTGGAGGTTAATCCCGGCACAGGGAAAGAAGGGCAGTGGGAACATTGCCCATCACAGAGCTGTCTGGAGACATGTTTACACTACAGATTTCTACTGGCATAGCGGTGTCAGTCTGGGGACTGAAGATATTTGATCAAACTGCACTAGTGGAGACACTTTCATAGCAGCATAACCATGCATTTGCCATAGAGATCATTTCACTCAGAGGCAGCTAGAATAAGCTACACCGACAAAAGTTGAGTAGTACGCTGGGATCGCAATATGACACGGCGCTGCTAGTGTAGCCGTGGTGTGGTTAAGCTATGGTCAATGGGAGGGAATTTAGATGGCATTGGAGAAAGAGCAGCAGCAATTAACTCTCAGCAATTTCCTTGCAGGCTCCTGTGAGACTACCTAGATTCTGGTTTGAGGTGAGTAATCACATTTGCGTTGTTGTCAGGCCCTGCCAGTTGGAGTCCTGCATACCGGGAGCTGTGATTCGCTGGCAATCCTGTCATTCTGCTCCACAGGGCCTTGGGATATTAGTATCACCATGGACAATCACAAACACACTCTTAACTATACACTGGAGCAGATCCCCAGCATGTGGAAGTCAGCCTCTCTCCACCGACACCAACAGAGTAGTGGCAGTTTACACCAGTATAGAATTGGGCCCACTTGAAAAAGCGTTTCTAACATGGCAGATAATGAAGCATGCAAGTGGGGGCATCTATGAGATATTTCAGTGGGAGGGAGGGTGAAAATTTTGAAAAACAATCAACAACTTTTTTCATTTGGAAAAATTCCAACCAGCTCTAATTCTCATCCTGAGGAGTCAGGAAACTGCCAAACTCTGTAAATTAATCCCAGCACTCAGAAAGGAGGACAGTGGGAATGTTGCCCATCACAGAGCTGTCTGTAGAGATGTCTACACTACTGACTTCTGCTGGCATAGTGGTGTTCGTCTGGGAAAGGAAGAGGGGAAATGTCTTCTCTAAAGTCTAAATCATCAACATTCCCCCCCTCCCCCAAAATAGAGTAGTGCCATTGTGAGGGGGAATCAGCTACATTTTGATGACACTGGAAAAAGAGCAGATCAAGTAACTCCTCGATTTTTCCTTACAGGCTGTTGAGGACACAGCCGAAAGCGCTTTTGATGTGAGTATTCATTGTTGTCTTCCAATTTTTGCTGATGTTTTAACAAAAAGAATTGAAACCAACACGGGGAAAGTTTTAATTCTTAATCTTCCATCTCTCTTCGCCTCCTTCCTCCCTCTGGTTTTAACCTCCCCTTTTCAGTAAGAAAGAAAAGGGGGACATTTTCAGGTTTTCATTAAAAGAACACTTTCAAAATAATTATGGAAACATTTTGATGCACGCAATTATTTTGTGTGGAAAATGTCCTAAATCACACCATTTTTTTCATCTTTCTAGCAGTTTGGGGGCACACTCAGCCCTGTTGGTGGTGCTTTGTCCATAAATACACCAAACACAGTTGCCTTTGAGTCTCTTAAGTAATTCTGGTAGATTAAACAGGGACTGGTCAGCTGAATGAAGGAAGGCAGAGAGAAGAAGAAAGACAGGCACACAGAGGGGAAGTGACTTCTCTAAAGTGTAAATCATCAACATTGCCCTCTCAAACTGGAGTAGAGCCATTGTGAGGGAATCAGCTAAATTTTAATGACACCGGAGAAAGAGCAGATCAGGTAACTCCTAGATTTTTCCTTACAGGCTCCTGAGGACACAGACAAAGTCACTCTTGATGTGAGTATTCATATTTGTCTTCCAATTTTTTCTGATGCTTCTACAAAAAGAATTATAAACAAAACATGGGGAATGTTTTGGTTCTTGAGCAGTAAGGAAACCCCCAAACTCTGGAGGTTAATTCCGGCACTGAGAAAGAAGGGCAGTGGGAATGCTGCCCCTCACAGAGGTGTCTGGAGACATGTCTAAACTACAGATTTCCCCCGGCATAGCAGTGTCAGTCTGTGGAGATGTTTGGTCGCTTGCTGACATGTCTGTGCTGGCAAAAGCCCCTAATGTAGACACAGTTATACCAGCAAAACTGTGCTTTTGCTTACATAGTTTATGTGGCTCAGGGCGGACTAGAATAAGATGCAGTGATAAAAGTGCACCCGGATAGCTATAGAGATAACCTGTTCCTAGCATAGCCATGGTGTGGTTCAGCTATGGACAATGTGAGGGAATCCGTTACATTTTGATGGTATTGGAGAAATCGCAGGATCAAGTAATTCCCAGCAATTTCCTTGCAGGTTTCTGGGAGAGTATCTGGAAGAGTCCCAGGGGTGAGTATTCAAAGTTGCTTTTCTGACAGGCTGTCTCACTGTCTTATATTATTGCAGTGCCTCTTCTCAAACCCGAAGGCTGAGCACAGTGGTCAGCCGGAAAAGCCTAGACAGATGTGAAAGGATTAAGGCAAAAGACACAGCAATGGGCTTCTAAATCCAAAAAGGGGGTGTCAGAGTTAATCCAGGTGTTCTTTGCAGTGTCAGTTCTCCCATTATCCCAATAGCCGGTTTGTTGGTTCTCTGTGGGCTCTGTTCTCTACAACCATGATAAGAACCACTTCTCAGTGGAGTCAGACACACTGGGATCTGTAATTCCCTGGGAACCCTTTCATTCGGCATATCTGGAGTGGGGATAATAACAGCAGATGTAAATCGGCCTCATGCCACTGAAGTCAATAGAGAAATGCCAGTTTACACCAGAATAGAATTTAGCCCATTTGAAAAAAGGGGTTTCCTCACATAGAAACCACTGAAGCACGTGGGGATCTAGGAAATATTTCAATAGAAGGGAAGGCAGAAATCGACCAAGGAGCTGGGAAATTTCCCACCCCAGGAGCTGCGTGGCTCAGCCACTGCCACGAAAACAGCATCATTTCAGTGATATCGGAGAAAGAGCAGCACTAAATAACTCCTGCCTTTGTCTGCCTAGCGGTTTGGGGCATGTTGAGCCCTGCTAGTGGTGCTCTGTCCATAGATAGTCCAGAGGCAGTTGACTCTGAGAGTCTGTAAAGTGATTCTGGTGCATTTAGCTGTGACCGATCAGACTAAATGAAGAAAGGCAAAGAGAAGAAAGAAAGGCACAGAGAGGGGAAGTGACTCACCTGAAGTCACCAGGAAAGTCAGCAGCAGAGCCCAGAACAGATCCCCGAGCTCTTGTCTCTCAGCCCAGCTCCCTTTTTACCCGACCACACTGGCTCCCATTTCCCAACCAGCAGCCGTTTGAGTCCAGTTCCTTTCAGGACATCATTTTGATTTCACTGCTCCCAGAGAAAGAGAAGCAACAAATAATTAATGTTTTAGTAACTTGCTTTTTTCCAAAGACAAGAAGCGCAATCTATTTAATTTATCCCAGAAATAGTTAAGAGGTGACTTGATCCTGGTATACACGTAACTGCAGGGGGAAGAGATTTCTGATGGCATATGGCTCTTTAATCAAACAAAGGAAGACAAGATCCAATCATCTAAAACTTAAGCTAGACAAATTGAATCAGGAAATAAGGTGAAAATTTTAACAGTATTAATTAACCATTGGAACAATTAACCTAGGATGTGGTGGAGTCTCTGGCTATGTCTACACCAGGGAGCATACAGCGGCACAGCTGTACCAATGCAGCTGTTCCACTGTAAACTCTCTCGAGCTGACAGGAGAGAGCTGTCTCGTCGATGTAATAAAACCACCCCCAATGAACGGTGGTAGCATGTCGGCGAGAGAAGCTCTCCTGCCAACATAGCGCTGTGCACATTGCCGCTTATGCTGGTGAAACTTTTGTCATTTTGGGGGTATTTTTTTCACACCCCTGAGAGAGATACATTTTTACGAGAAAAGTGCTAATGTTGATAGGGCCTTGATCACAGAAAGTCTTTACATTTAGATGGGATAGCTTTAGAGAAGGTGTGCTCTAAATAGAAGAGAAGTTAGGGGCTAGATGCAGGTCAGTCTAAAAAAAAAT